AACAGCAGCAAAACACCTTTGCTCTCCAGAGTCACTACAGTCAGAAAAGGGAACTATAATCGGCCAAATTACAACTGCCATAACTTGTCCACTCTATGCTAACGAAATGCAAGGCTAATTGCACAGACTGCTGTTTGTGCACCTGCAGAAAACGCTGCCTTTGGCTTTGGACTTTCACCAACATATGGAACGTTAATCCTCGACAGATTTGTCAGATCATATTAACGCCATACGCGCTCCTGGTCAAGTCTTTGGAAATTAACCAAAGAGCTGTGTGGTTGTCTTATAAGTACTAGAACTAAAAGTTAGATGGCTGTGTGTTATCTGCTCAAATCAACAGGGCATTTGGCACACACATTTCCCCGGAGCTGGAAAGCAAAATATCTTTTTATTCAAAAATGCACATGCAAGAGCCTGCATGTGGTTTTGTTATGCGTTGCCATATGGAGGACAACTAACCTCTTGTCCATATTAAAAGTCTGGCCTGCTAAAGGTGTCCCAGGGTAGCTAGTTCATTCTCAAACTGCATAATGATGTGGTGTGGATCACAGGTTTTATCCAACTACAAGCAGCTGCTAAAGTAGCAAAAAGACAAGTCCACTCCTTTAAAAAATAAATAAATAAATAAAAATACAAACTGAACAGCTTAGTTTTACAACTAAACGGTGATCGTGGCCTTACTTTGCTCTACATGTCATTCTCGGATGATGCAGATCCCGATTTCATGCAGAGCCAACACCCCTGATCTCATCTTACACAACATGTGACCAGATCATCTGGTCCGATACCCTCGCTGTGGAGCGCGTTGGTTTCACTCTATTGTGTTTTCTTTTTATACGTATTCAACCCCTGAAGAGCTGGCTTTTGTGTAAGATCAGTGCAGTGATTGTCGCCAGGTACAGAATCTACAGAACATGATCTCTACCCAAATTCTCACAGACACTGGACAAAAAAATAAATAAATAAATCACACATGTAATATTTAAGACCTGATGAACGCTGAGGGAGCGCAATGACTCCAATCATTCAAAGTGAAGGAGCGAAGTGAATTTCAGAGGCCAGGATGACTAACAAACAAGTGATTGTAAAAGGCATCCCAACTGTAGCTGGGAGTGCTTAGATCCGCCTCACACAAAACCCTCAGAAGGTCTTTATTGTCCAACAATGCAATGTTATTTACTCTTCACATCAAGACTTTCAATTGTATTCAAATGAGATCAAGGTCTAACTAAGGGATTTGTTTTGGCAGATGTTCAAAGCACAGCGTATGCACCGTTAGGAGATCAAGCATTTGAAACCAGGATAGATTTACCTTCTCTTGTATCTAAGCCAAGGAAACTTCCCAGTCAAAGAGTTCTGATATGGGCAGATGTGGGACAAGGAGAAAAAGATGTAAAGAGAATAGCGAAACATAGTTGAAGCATGTGCGGCAGCTTTGGCTGCAGACTGATTTCAAGGCAGAAACCAAAAGTGAATGTCTGTTCAATTTGGATGAAAACACAAATGGAGCACACCCTCAGATTTTCCTGACACTGCCCAAAACCTCACACAACCTGCGTGGCTCGCTTGCCCACCACCAGTTAAAATTCCTGGAGTTCACATCCTGACATGGATCACAGTTAAAAATCAGCTCCTGTAGACCTCAGCGAAGGCAGGCAGGGAATAAAGAAAAAGCCATAAGGGATGAAGGAGGAGTGTACCGGAAAAGGTCGACCTCAGATCTCTGTGTTCCGACTGTTGCCACAGCTGTATCTGGTTCAGCAGAACACAAGTCATATCAAGGGGAGTTATGTGGACCGACAGGGAAGACTCAGCAGAGGGGGGGAAAGGGTCTCTGCCTGAACAAAATACAGTTTCCTACAGTATTTATCACCTCCTGGTTGGGGTGAGAACTATTTGTAGACACTGCTGCCAAATCAAACTTTTTATGTAGATTCCAACATCATGCTTTTATTACATCAGTGTTTCCTCACACGCAGACTTTACTGGGGTGGGCAGCCCAGTTATATCAGCAGCAGCAGCCCAAGGATACAAGGCAAATAATTTTAACATATAATTTTGTTTGTCAGCGACACCTACCCACAATCCATTTGCGAGTTGACAGGCTCCTCGCTTTTATTTTGAAAGGTTAGTCGCTGCTGACCAGCTAGCCCCGGCCTACAGGCAAGCTGGTTGCCAGGTTTCTGTTGTAGTGGTCATGTTATAAATTAGCTTCTTCTACAGAGAGGATCCTATCCCCTGAGTGTGCATACTCAGATGTCTGGTAGTCGAAGGTCTGCTGAAAGCTGGAGAGGAACTTTACCCATTAGGGAACTGGCACATGTGCTGCTACACGAGCTCAATGATCCTGCAAAAGAGTAGAGGAACTACTGTACTACTTACTACTGCATCTACAGCTGTAGAACAGGATGGTAACACTGGCATTTGTTCCGCAAGAGTCTCACTAAAGAAGCAGCATTATATTGTTTCATTATTGTCATGTAGCATTTAGTGATATTATTTGCCTTTTCAAAAGGTATTATTTAAAAACTTAGGCAAGCCTTCACCCTGCAGGAGCTGTACATACGTAGATGAACACACATGGGTATGCACGGATGCCACAAACACAAATAAAATCTGAATCTGTTGGAAACAGTGTGGTTTAAATAATCCAGGCTTAATGTTGAGTGCTAAACAAAAACATCTTACCTGAAATGGTCAATCACCCCCATTCAGGTATTACACATGAACTTATAGAATCAAAAGAGCAAATGAACGCCAGGCCTAACAACTTTGATTCTTTGGGGTAAACACTATTTATTCTGTTTACTATAATGTCATATAGTGGAGGTGAATGGATTATACATTTCAATATCAGAGTCCGACCAATCTCGATACATAACACTGAAACCATCTGCATGAGCTGATACTCTGAGGTTGAAAGATTCCCCGTGGTTTTTTTGTTTGTTTGTTTGTTTGTTTGTTTTTGGGGGGGGGGTCTTGGTGGACTGGCCCTTTAATTTCATTCAGATGGCTCACATTTTCTCTTTTGTTCCTGGGTGGAGTGCTTTCGTGTAACTAGCTGTATTGTAACACAAATGACCTCTGCGATAATACGCACCAGCTGTTTGAAGGGAGATAATAACATTTACCAACAGCGTTCCTCCTTCCTCACTGGCAGCAGCCCCTTCCTTCCTCCTGAACAAACTCCAATCAGTTGATGTGTTGTTTATTTGAGAGCTGACACAGAATGCTGATTTATCTGTGCTCTGCTCGAGCGTAAAACTTTACAAGCTCCAAGTTTACCAGAACTCCATGTAGGATTAAGAAAATTGGGCATCTCAAACAGAAAATTGCATATGCAAATAAGGAGCAGCACAGTTACAAAACAATGGTGCGTTTCATGATTTCAGGTCAATAAATGTACTCGTTGCACATTTCTATGCTAATATCCAACTGCATCGTTTTTGAAAACTTGTGCAAAGGGTAATGTGTATTTCACATTTTCAAACAGAAGCAATAATATACTAAAAACTATATACTAGTGCATACAGTACTGTGAAAAAATAGTATGTGCACCAACCATTTTTAAGGAAGGAACACATTGAGAAAAAGCAAAGGTATGCCAAATTAGAACTGAACTGAAAGTCCGTGGGAACAGGTTTTATGGAGGGATGAAACCAGATTTGAAATCTCTGATTAAAGAGAGAGATATAATAGAGAGCCATCTGTAAAACACGGCAGAGGCTCTGTAATGGTTTGTAGCCGTGTTTTAGCCAGTGGTGTTAGGTATCTTGTCAAAACCAAAGGAAATGCAAACACACCAAAGGACCATTAGAGTTTGAGTCGCCATTTAAAAGCATCTAATTAGCAATTAATTCATTTTTCAGCATGTCAACAATCCCAAACACACTAAACACACCTCAGCTATACTGAAGTAGTTTGAGAGCAAAAGGTAGGCAACATGCAAAGAACTGTTTTGAATATGCTTCAGGAAGTCTGGAGAACTATTCCTGAAGACTGGTAAATTACAACGACGGTTGAGGGTTAGGCGTTCATTTTTGATGGTTAGGGTAGGCTAGGGAAAGCGTTATATCAATTCAATGTCTTAACTAAGAGATTAAAAAAAAGTGTGTGTGTGTCAGCACTAATTTGTTAGTTAAAACCTGGAGAACGAACCAAAATACTGTAATACTAGCTTGACAACCTACCATAAACATGCCTCTTATAGTGACTACACTGACTACAAAGACCACTTCTTGTCAATGACAACCAAGTAAACATGGCTGACTGTTGTACCATTAAAGTATTACACGAATCCGTTTTTATTTTTTCACTGATGAAAAAAAAAAGCAGTAAATCATCTCAATTAAGAAACTCAAACTGAAGAATATCTGGCATTTTTCCACATAAAATTACTAAAATGATTCTTATTACTGCATCCGTCAAAAAAGTGAAAAATATAACAGGCTAACACTATGATTTAATCTTGGGCTCAGGTATTGTGTATCTATGTGTCTGTGTCTGTCATGAGGGGAGGGGAGCTATGGAAGGCCTGCCCTCGTCTGCCATCCATAACAAAATAAACTGCACGGCTTGAGCAACAAAACATGATTGTGAGCTATCAGCTCACCATGTTCCTATTAGCAGACATTTTGTTTATTATTCCTAACAGTTAGCAAAATGAAACGCTTTCTTGTTGCAGCTGATGCAGGCTCTCTGATTACTGATGGATAAGTCACAAAATTTAGGTTAACAAAATGACATCTTGAACCAATTAATCCTTTACCCTTCAGCACAGCTTTCTGATGAATTCAAATTGTAAATGACATGTCAGAAAAGCTGATTATGTGGCCCAGTGTGTGGCTTTGTTTGTTTGAACAACCGTATTAATAATTGCATCCAGCATATGGATGCAATTATCGTTACGATTTCTGACTCCTGTGGCATTTGTTTTGCTTTTTTTTCGTGCACAGATTCATCAGAAAATTCTCTGACACGTTTAAATTTCTCAGGCTCACCTTTCTGTAGATGAATGATGTCGGGGAAGTTGGCGAGCAGGCCTTGATAGAGCGACAACTTATCCAGCATGTGGAAGAGGTCATACTTAGGTTGCTCTGCAAACAACTCTCCAATGTTCTCATAGGTGCGGCCAGTATGGGAGATGGCATTGTTGAGTCCATCTGACCTATAGGGAGGGTCCAACGTGAATGCGTGGCTGATAGACTGGAAGGCATTTCCAAGACGCTGGAACTCTTTCCTGAATCCACCCAGGTGTTTGCGCACCAGCTCTGAGGCGACGTGTGTCAGCTGCATAACGCTGTCGTCCATCTTCCTGGCAAAGGCCTTGAAGTTGTCGACTCGTTCCTCGACGTCCTGAAGGTCCTGGTGCTCTTTGGGGATTTGAAGGGTTAGCATGAAATGCGCGCCCACCATCTCGTCCTTCTCCGCCCTTCTCTTGCCCAATTTCCACTGCTTGTCATCAGCACACATGAGAAAGTGCTCAAAGCCTTCATATTGGGAAAGGACTGGGTGACTGGTCATGTGGTTCATCCACAGTATCAGTCGCCTCTTGCGCTTCTCAATGAAGTCTTCCTCGAATCGCCCCGTGGCCTGCTTCTCAGGCAGGTGAGGCACAGAGATCACAGTGAACTTGTGAAGCAGGCGGTTGTACAGCCAGTCAAAGTGTTTGTAACGTCTGTAGACGGGACGCCCTGTATGACTTGGTGTCACCCGGTACGAAATGTAGGTCTTGATGCCCTTGAACTTTGTCTGTTTGGTGGGATCCTCAATGGAGCAGGAGAAAGGCTTTGGATTCTCCTTCCACCGGGGCCCTAGGGGACCCATGTCAATGGAGTAAGTCTCAGCTATCTTTGCCATCATTGGGACATCACCCAACACAAATGCCTCTACCCCTGAGCGGACAAAGCTGGAAAATCTGTTCAAGTTCCTGCCCACCATACTGCCCTTCCTAGAACTGGTGATGCTATCTTGTCTGGATGCCAGCTTGGGTCGATAGTGCACATTGGGATTGTTGGTCATCGGGTTCTCAGGGGCATGTCCATTGGCTCCAGGATTCCTGGTGTGATCAGCATCATCCACAACAGTGGACCTGTCATCCCAGTCATCCCAGTCGTCATAATCGTCATCATCATAATCATTCTGTGGATAATGGAGCGAGGTGTTTGGAGTGGAGAAGTCCTTTCCTAAAGAGCCCGCTGGGCTTATGGAGCAGTCGGTAACATTAGAGTTGGAGCGACTGCGTATAATTTCCACATAAGATGCAGGGAAGATACCCCTCTCTCCTCGGCTGTTCTCCCCCTGAAACCAGCCGTCCACTGAGTTCTCGTCAAAGATAATCAGTTCCTCATTCTCCTGGATGCTAATCTCCCCATTGTTTTCGCTTAAAAAAGTATAGAGGGCTTTGGCTTTCACTGACATCTTTGATTACTCCCGTGGCTGCGAAACCAGAGAATTCTACATGCACATAGTGCTTAGATTATATCGATGCTGCTGTCTCGGTGCATGCCACATTGGAAACATTTGACACTAGCTCACTGTAATATTTAAACTCATATCAAATGGCATCGCAGCTGTTCGATCGTGTGTGCCACAGCACAATATGACCTATGTAAATTTAATGATCTGACACTAGATAAACACAGAGCTTGTCAAAAGTTACATAAAACTATTACTTCTATCTGCCAAAAATAAAAAGTCTGAAACAGGCCTAGGGTAACAATTAGTATACTCAGCCCATTGAGGCTGTTGATCTATTATTGCATTATACTAGCAGGTCTAACAAGAACTTTAACCTACAAAAGATCTGTAACACAATAGGCCTCTCAATACAGAAGGACCCCGTGTCTCCTTTCTCATCACAAACACAACAGGTTCAAAACCAAAAGTGTTTTCACCGAAGAGCTCCTCCAAAAGCGCCGACGGTCGTTTTAAAATCCTCTCAAAGTGGGCTTCAGCCTCGCTGTTAACTTATTGTACAATTGTGTCTCATTACCGAGCTTTAAAACCATCCGTGATGGGACTACTTCCAGGATAAAGTGGCCCGGTGTGAAGGAAAAACAGATGGATGAGTAATGGTATCCCTGTGCATTTTTAAACGCCGCATTCCCTCACACTGAAACTTGCTGCGTGTTCCTTTGTAAACAGGTTCCTGCGCATCTTCAGTCGATCCTTTTTCAGCAAAAGCAGAAAACGGCCAAAAACAATCCGCACCCACTAAGTATCAGCACACGCCACGAGCCGCTGCTATTTCTTGGAGTTTATTCCTTTGCGAGCGGCAACAAAGTAACTCTTTCCATGACGTGCGGTCAGACAATTGAAGGCAACTTCGCCTTTTTTTTTTCATCAGCTCCTTTATATTGTTTGGAAGAGGCGGAACAGGCTCGATGCCGCCCCCTCCAGGAGGGAAGGAGCATTACATACAGTGAAGATTACAACATCCAAGCACAATTTATGTCGTGGGTTACCAGGCATATTATAGTTTTGTATTTTCGAGTTTAGTTTGTTTGTTTTGTTTATTCTTGTATATTTTGTCTTGAATAATGAAAATAAATACCAGGTTTCTGAAAATAATGAAAGAAAAACTATTAACTCAGAAAGTCAACTTAAATTTTAAAAAGTATAAAAAAGAATAATAAATTATACTTTACACTATAGTTAAGCTTAATGTTGGCGATAATTACGATTTAGTGTATTATTATTATTGCAGTGATGCTTACTACTATTAAATATAGTCTTTATAATTTAGGAAACCTACTTCCTATTGGCTACCACAATAACGTTGATATGATATATATTTCAAAGCTTCAATAAATTCTTAGACATAAGGTGTTAGACTATCCAACCGAGCAACAATGTAGCCGTAATAGTCTCATTTAAGTGCTGCGTTTAAACTGAATTTATATACAGTACATGTTTATGTGGCCTCCTTTATACTTTTTAACTCCTCTACATTTAAACGTTGTTGTTTTTACCCTACTTTATTTATTTAACACGTTTAGCACCGTCAAATTTGCTAGGATAACTTTGAGAGTGTTTTGTTTTTTGTAATAGTTCCACATAAGTGACCGATATTATTTCTATCGTGTGAAAAAACAAACTCCGGGTTAGGTTGAGCTTTTTTGTCGGCCAACTGAAAAACGCCACCCGGCAAAAATGATGACAGCGTGACGTTTCGGCAGCACCCTCCCTGAATGTCCAAGGTATCTGTTTACGCTAGCTTTGTGAAAACTAACATCTCATAAAGTTTACTGCATTGCGTTTGAGTCCAGTATTTGTGTATAGTTTGTACGAAAGCACGTTTTTGTTGCAAAACGCGCTAGGGTCAAAGTTCCTAACTGGTTGCATAGTTAGCAACCAGAGCGTGCTAGCAGGTTTAGCGCGATGCAATGCTAGCAGCTAAGCTATGTGACTGGCCAGTTGTAGTAGTCCGTAATAGGAGGCTTTTCTGGCCTTTTTCCGCGAAGTACAATCTAGACAGATGCCCCACTAGACCAGGGCGTTTGGTGCTTGATTATATTGGTATTACCTGTGCAATATTAAGCTTAAATTAAAAAAACATCCCGTCAATCAGCACATGTTTGTCCTAGTTAAGTGTGTAAATGTTGTACAAGCAAAGTCACTTGTACCCGCACTTTCTATAGACTATATTTGATTTAGAGTACATACAGGATGATCCTAAGCTCTCGGTGATCGTGGGGGGCAAATTGGACTAGATGTTAACATTGCTACTAACGCTGGTTTATGAAGGTCAAATAATCGGCCATGACATACTTAATTTGTAGAAATTAGCTGATGAATTATTAAGGATGTACAGATTATGAAGAAGTATTCATAAGTAGTCACGTCATTATTAAGATCATGAATATGTAAAACGATTACCCATGGGCTTTGGAAAAATAAGAGTTTAATTTAGAAACGAAATCCTCAAACTTTAATTATAAATACGTTAAAAATATAGTGTTATGTGTGAAGTCAACTAAATCTGCCACTGTGTGGTGGGGAGTTGGACTGAGATCTGTGGTCTGGTGATATTTTTAAAAAGCAGCTACAAATTCGTCTTTACAAACTTGCTTATGGGTAACTTTATGTTGTTATATTTTTGGCATTTTGTTATGAAGCACTTTTTGATATTTGCCTTGAAAGGTGCTGTAGAAAAATGTTTTAATTTACTTTAACTTTACTTTTATGTTGAGGCCAAATAATGTGCCAAATGCAAAACAACCATGACCATAAATCGAAAGTGGGACACTAGTCATATTATTTCATATAGTTTTAATAAGTTGCTACAATCCAACATTGTAATTTAAATGAACATTCAGAGATAGGTAGATGTGTCCCTATTTCAAGGGAAATCGAGACATCGAAACTCTTTCCGCTCTTTATCACACTATCTTTGAACACATGCTGATAGGCCTGAATCATTCAATATGGCTTAAATTTAAATGCGCAACCAAACTGTCAGAAGATATCTGCAGTAAATTAAAAGCACATAAACACTGGTGCATCTCAACAAACACTGAGCATTAGAATATAATGACTACGTTGAAGTACATATTGTTAATCTTTCAAGCTAACCTGTACAAGAGCTCTAGCACACAAAAACAGATAAGCCACTGGGTTGCCTGTAGTCTTACTTCTCAGACCTATTAACCACTCTTCCTTGTAATATAAAATAAGTACTGGGGTGTTGATTTTCAGTGCCCTCATGGATGACCTGACCCAAGCCCTCTCGGCCAGCTTTGCTGTGTCCAAGGAGCCCAACAGTACAGCCTGCCCCCACCCTCGGCTGGCCCAGTACAAAAGCAAGTACAGTGTGCTGGAGCAGAGTGAGCGACGGCAGCGTTTTCTTGATTGGCAAAAAAGGTAATCATCCAGCTCATTATTTAACATCTACATAGTCATACCTGACAGTTTATTAGGTACATATTTCCTGGACCCTCTTTGATATTCCGAACTGCTTTAATTCCTCATGGCACAGATTCAACACGGTACTGCAAACAGTCCTCGGAGATTTTGCTCTACACTAACATGATTTTGTCACACAGTCGCTCCAGATGTGTCGGCTTTGTCCAGGAGACAAATCCTCTTCACCACTGTGAAGGTCATTTGAGTACAGTGAACTCGTCATGCTCAAGAAACCAGTTTGAGATGATTCTTTATGACATGATGTGTTACCTTGCACTGTGTCATCAGAAAATGAGTAAACTGTGGCCATAAAGGGATGAACATATTCATCAAGAACACTCAGACAAGCTGTGGCATTTTACATGCATCAGTTGGCACTAAGGGGGAAGGAGCGTGTCAACAAATATCCCCCATACCATCACAGCCCCAACTCAACTCAGATTTATTTATAAAGCTTGTTTTGGTAAATGTGAAGCGTGGGACACTTCGAAGCATCTGATCAGCTCACCAGAGGGACCTGGAAGCTGAATAGGGTTGTAAGAGGTCAGAGATGTAGGAAAGAGCCAAACCATGAACGGCTTTTCTTGAACTCCATTCAAATCCTCACTGGCAACCAGTGGAGATAAGCTTAAACAGGTGTAAAACACTATATGTTTACACTGCGCCATGCAAAAGCATCTCAGTGACTCTTTTTCCATTTCTTATTTTAGTAAAAGGTTAAACTATGTCAACCATGCACGGCGTCTGGCTGATGGGGATTGGACGGGGGCAGACAGTGATGGGGAGGAAGAAATGGAGAAACAGGAGGAGGGGGAACGAGCACAAGATGGCAACACAGAAGAGGAGGAGATGGAGATCGAGAGGAGGAAGCTGCCAAAACATTATGCAAACCAGGTCAGTGTTTGATGCATGGACATTGCTGTGTGAAGTTTTGTTGAATTCCTGTCTTTTCCAGCAGAGGGCGCTTGAGTCCTAAAGTTACAACTCCGGTCTGGAGAATAGAGCAGGCAGATCCCAACAAACAAAGCATGGAACAAAGAGTTTGTTTATGTGGGAAAGTTTTTGTTTCTGAGTCTGAAAGAAAAGTGTCTTTTTTGGTGTACTAACTTCTGAATACTAAAGCTAGCTAAAATGTGGCATGACAGTCTGTTATAAAGTGGGGCTCCTGGTCACCAAACATGAAACTCTGTAATAACTCACACTGTTGTGTTCATTGTCATTGTCATTCTTGTAGGCTTAAATAAAGTTTTGATGAAGGTGACATGTCCCTTTTCCTCCTCAGCTCATGCTATCAGAGTGGCTAGTGGATATACCATCAGAGCTGGACACTGATTGGCTGATGGTGGTCTCTCCTGTGGGCAAAAGATCTCTGATTGTTGCCTCTAAGGTAGGAGCCGTTCCTCTTTTCTTTGCCTCCACGTTGATGCCTGTTTCTGAATTTCAGAATCTAGCGAGTAACTTTAAAGTCATCTCTTTAAACATTCCTTTTTTGTAGTCACTATTCACAGCGATGACTGAAACAGAAGGCTTACTGATTTCTGAATTTTTGAATCATCAGATTGTCATCTTGCAGTCCTGATCAAAAGTCGTATCAGTCTTTGAAAAACAGCAGTCAGTATTTCCTGCAGTTTGAGTGCAGTGCTAAAGTGAGTGTGTTTGGAGAGGATTGTTGTACTTTGCATCTGTTGCTTTTTATTTCAACGCTGCCTTCGTGGTATTGCAGAGGACGATGTGGATTGTGTCTGTGTTTGAAATGAGCCACCTTGTCAGAGGTACGCTGCCCAATATCTTAATAATGTGGCAAACAGTTTGAGAGAATTTTCCTCGAGCTGCGATAAAGAGTCACAGTCAATAGATTAGAATCAGTAGATTAAATTAGAAAGATGACTGTGTGCTCCAGAAATGATTAAAAAAAGCAACACGGAGGTTTTTAATATGTGTCATGCTTATACCACTTTTCTCCATTTAGAAAGTGAAAAAATAAAGTGAAGAATTTGGTTTAAAAGCTAAAAAAAAATACCTACAAAATAATCAGATGGGATCTTCTTGAGCGTTTTTTGGTGGTTTTCCTCTTTAAACTTGTGGCAGCGTGCTGATTTTGAGCTCAAGTAGGTCATCGGCACAGGTCATCCATCCATCATCACCAAATTTCCAAGTTGAGCTGACTGTGTTGTGTTTGCATTGCCATTCATTTAACTTGCCAACTAGGGATGGGAATCGAGAACCAATTCTTGTAGAACCCTTTCCCAGTAGTCCAATTCCTTGGAATTGTTTGTCTGCATATCGATCCTGCTTATCAGTTCTTGCACTCACAGCTGATTTCAGTTCATGTGTCAGAGGGAAATAGCAACGCAGTCCATGGCATGGATATAGACATATTATTTTTATTGCACAAAAGGACAAGATAAAGGTGCACACTGCACCAAGGATAGAAACAGCTGCATTATGCTGCTTACACAACTTCGGTTCTTTGCAAGCATCTGCACAGACAGCATGCTAACGCTAAGCTAGCCAAGAACCCAGAGTGAAAGCTGAGCGAATGCCGACCCCAGCAGCCAGACCCTGAACTTCAACAGGTAACGAGCAGATGAGCAGTCAGGCTGCAGCCTCTCTTGCTACCTGTTCCCATTTCTAAAGCAAAGTCACTGTAGCGATGTCTTTTTTCTTCATCTTCACTCTGTGTGGTCAGCTTTGTATTGTGCTAAGAGAAAGATCTTAGAGATGTGTCCTCATTAGGGATTTGTGTTGGTGTGTGTGGTTGTAGCCTCAGGTTTATATTGTTAAATAATGATCATGAAACGGTGTTTCAGCTATTTTACAGAGTAGCATGAAAGTAATGCAACCTGCAGTATAATAAATTAGTTTTTCCTGGGAGTAGTTAAATGATGTACTGGACTACTTTTAAGAAAGGCGTTCTGTGTTATATGTTTAATGATGACTTTTTTGAGCAATGACTCCAACACTGATCACACCAAAGAGGGGAAATATCTTTAACAAACATGCACAAACATTTGACCCACAGTATGCAATTAATTTGCATGAATGTAATTTTTTTATGCTGCTTACCGATGGTGGGGACTGCCAGAACCGAGCCAATGAGAAGCGATAAGAGAATTGGAATCACTGAGTTGTTATCAAGTCCAATCCTTATTGCCAATAACAAAAAAGCAGGGCGAGTTTGAAAGCGGGAGCTTCAGAGGTGCAGAGGAGATAAAATACCTGATATTCATTATTAATATCCAAAGTTTTTCTTTCTGTCCCTTCTTTCTTCCCTTGTGTTCTTTTGCTGCTGTGCATATAATCCTGGCTGTACCAAGGCTGTAAAAAATTGGAGAAGGAGAGCAGAAGTCATAAACAATATTAGTGTGGTATATATTGGCATCACCAATATACATTAAAACTATTGCTCAATAAGTTTAGAAAACTTGGTAACTGAACTTTAAAATGTGCCTTTTTAACCCTAAAAAGGAGCAGTGAGAAGAGCAGGTTGCAGGTTCACCTGTGGATGTCTTTTTACACCTCCTTTCTTCCTTTAGATAAGTCTTGTTGACGACCAGCATGATTTAGTCAGAGCTCAAATAAATAGTGAGTTTGAGCTTTAAAGAGGGAGCAGGAGTGCACTGCTGTACCAACAAAGGATTTTAAAACAAAAGAAAAAAATCAGGAGTGTGATTACAGCACACTAAGTGTTTCATCTTTATTATTTTGTTTTGCAAAGATCATCTGAAATAAGATGCAGTTCATTAACCAGCAGTGAGGAAAAGTATGTCGAATAGAAGGTGTTCCGAGAATGAACCGTGCTGTGACAGAACTCCAAATTGACGAGTAAAATTGGAGTCGAGTTGCGTGGAGGCAGGGGGAGCGGTGATCCTCAGGACGACTTCTGTTGATTCATGAGAAACGAGAAAGTCAAAAACCCAACCGCAAACAAACCCTTTAAGATCTTATATCCTCTGTAGAAATTTCAATATCATCACCAAGACATCAATTTAGGGAAGTGAAAGCAGCTATCGTAGCCTCTTGTGAAAAAGTGCACTTGAGGGTTTTTTTTTTTCCTCAGCTGTTTATGTGATTTAGCCTTAAATATGCAATTTACCTGATGATGTTGATGTTCATGAGTAATGGCAAGGCTGTCAAATGCTTGGATGAGATTCCTTGAAATTGTAGTCATGTCAAGGAAACTGAACTGCACCCATTTTCCCTCTTACTGCACCCAGAAGCTGGTGTTGTACTAGTGTTACTGAAACCACACACCCTCTGATGCAACCATGGAGGAAATCATAATGACTGTGCATCTACAGTCATCTGGTTCCTTGTTCATTATATCACGGCTCGAGCTCGCTGTCAATGAATTCCCTGAATCAGCACCAAAAACAAACAAAAAAAAAGGTTACGAGATTAAGATGAAGATGTTTTCCATGTCCTGAGGAAGAGTGAATGAGACTAAGTATTCACGCTTGATTAAGACTGTGGTCCTCATACTGTTGGTGAAACCGTGCTGTGAAAACTGAGCTCCTTCTCTATATGATTACCTCTCTGTAGGTTAAATGACTGATTACAACTACATTACAATTAAAAACTGACAACATGAGTCATAAAAGTTCTTGCTCCACTTATGTAAAGAGCTTTGCCTCATTTATTGCACAGAGGCAAGCAGTTAATTTGATCATAGGCATTTTGCAAGGAAATGCAATATTTAGTGATGATACACTCGCTGCTTTTTTACGTCACCTTGCTACTTCCGCCAGACCTGCCTTTACGCTGTAGTTATAAAGGGTCAACTGTGGTGTCTCAAACAATGCTCAGATGCCACAAATATCCCCCACACTATTACACCACCATCAGCAGCCTGAGCCCTTGATACAAGGCAGGATGGATCTGTGCTTTCGTGCTTACACCATCGACTGAATGTGACAGCACAAATTGAGATTCATCACACTTCTTCTGCTGCTGTAGCCCTTCTGCTTCAAGGCTCAGCGTCATGCTGACCGGAAGAGACGCTCTTCTGCATATTTTGGTTGTAGCGAGTCATAATTTGAGCTATTGTTCCCTTCCAGTCAGATTGAAGCAGTGTAGCTGTGCTCAGTGTAAACCTAATAAAGTGGCCAGTGAATGTAAATTATCTCCTATGATTAGATTTCAATGAGCTGACCTTACATGCGGAGCTCTAAATGCACTGCACTTGTCTGATAGCTGCCTTTGATGTATGGAGAAAATAAGGACAACCATGAGGGGAAAATACATTCTAGTTATTTTTCTCCCTTTTAACAGTTGAACATAAACATTGTTAAAGCCGTTTCTAACTCCTGCTCTTTAATGCTCACATTGACAGAATTGTGGAGACATGTAAATGAAATGATAACACTGGTTTCTTCCCTCCTGTATTGTTTCTGGTTTTCTTCTAAAGGGTTCCACTGCAGCGTACACCAAAAGTGGCTATTGTGTGAACCGTTTCCCCTCCCTGCTGCCTGGTGGGAACAGACACAACTCTGCTATGGGAAAAGGTAGGTGGGCCCGACTGTGTATTTGGATCTCTATAATGGGCCACATAGGCATTTTAACAACACGAGGAAGTGATCGGCAAACAGCAGGTTCTCCCATTCACCTGTGAGTTTATTTCATTTCAGCCACATCGAAACAGCTTCCAGGCGCTTTTTTTATGTGATAATCACAAAGCTTTTTCACATCCTTTTCAACTCCACCTATATTAGTGGGACAATCGGTACAGCTCACTACATGGGATTAGGCAAGTAGTTGACAGGCTGGAGTTTTGTGTATGAAGTACAAGTGCAGATGATTTCCATTTGATTAGACGATGTTATCATTTAAGAAAAGAAAACTATGGAATGTGAGTTTCAGATATTTCCGTTAGTTTAGGCAGCACTGCATTTCTTGTGAAGAGATTTTTACTCAGATTAAAACTACCAAAGCGGAAATTACTGAGAAAACCTGATTTCAAGTGGGCATTTACAGAAAAGAGACAAGTTTAAAAACCTGACAAAGCAGTAACAAAGAGCCAGAGCAAACAGTTCAAAGGAGAAAACCACTGCTGACCAAAACATCTTTGTGATTCCCCCAAGACCTTTGGGAAAACATTCAGTGGGCTGACAGAATGAAAGTTGAAGGTTTGAGTCCTGTTACATCTGGTGTAAAACTAACACTGGATTTCATAAAGAGAACATCAGACCAACACTCAAACATGGTGGTGGTAGTGTGATCTTCTGGGGCTGCTTTGCTGCTTCAGGACCTGAACAACTTGCTGTAGTTAGTGGAGTCTAAAAAATCGTTGGATTATGCAGCTGTACAATGATCCATACACCAGCAAGTCCACCTCTGACTGGCTGAATAACAAACTGAATGAAAGTTTTGGAGTGGCCTAGACAAAGTCTGGAATGGATTTGGCATGACTTTACAGACCATTCATGCTTATGAACCCCCAATGTGACTGAATGAAAACAATTTTGAAGAGTGAGACAAAATTATTATTATGAGTTATTGCAAACAGTTGGCTGCAGTTGTTGCACAAGCTGATAGGATTAGGAGGTAATTACTGGGTCACAGATGGTCAGGTAGGTTGGATAACTTAAATCCCTTAATAAATGAAATCATTATTTAAAAGCTGCATTTTGTATTTATTCAGGTTATCTTTATCTGATATTATATTTAGTTTGATGATCTGAAGCATTTAAGTCTGTCAAATATGCAAAATAATCAACAAGAAATCAAGAAAAGAGTAACTACTTTTTCACAGCAGTGAATATCTGATCCTTTGTAATATGAAGTTATACCTTCTTATTTGATTTTATTGATTGAGAATGAAGTTGTAATAAGAGTTTAAAGCTTCTTTTTGTAATGTGCTGCATGCAGACTACACAATCTTGGACTGCATTTACAGCGAGGTGGACAGAACTTACTACATTCTGGACGTCATGTGCTGGAGAGGCCACCCGGTCTACGACTGCCCAGTAAGATTGTCTTCTAATCTTCCAGCAATCCAGGAATGCTTGTCTAATTGCATAAGTAGCAGAGTCTGGGACACAGATGTGCCTTATGTTGGGGGGGTTGTGTTGCCATGTTGTCCAGTTCATTGGCTCAGAAGGTGAAAAGCAGTTTTTTGTTTTCACTGCTTGATTTCTCGTCAACAGACCGAGTTCCGTTTCTTTTGGCTCCAGTCCAAAGTCCAGGAGACCGACAGCCTATCAGAGATCACCAAACGCAACCCTGTGTGTACCAGCAACACAAATCAAAGCCTTTTTCCTTGTGCCTCCATTTTTTTAAAGTCCAAGTTTATTGTTTGTTAATTGGGACACTGCAACGTGTTTACACAGTCACACATTGTCTGCATTGTGTTTGTTGTGCCTTGCTCATTATTTCCACATATGGTTTTAATAAAATCCCAAACTTAAATGTGGAACTCCTCAGGCCAAGGAGAAAAAAGAAAATCAGTCCCCCAATTTTTTGTATTAAATGCGCCCTAAAGTGACACATCTTTAAGGTTATGGATGTTTGTGGAGGCCTGAGAGAGCTTGAGTTCAAGGTCCATCTATTCATTCTTAAGTGTTTGTGTGGAACTGCCAAATCTGCTAAATCAGGTTCAGTGCTTACTGAGTAGATTCGTCACTGGAAGGCAAATTCTCACATGTGACAAGAGGGCAAATTGTGTTTTGAGCTAGCAGTGTGGTTCTCTGATTTTTGTTTGGTCCCACAGTTCCGGTTTGTGGGGCTCCAGAGCACAGACTGCACAGCAGAATCAATAAAGGCAGCCCTGGCAGCAGAGTACAGCTTCAGTGTAAGAGCAGACTGTGAATTATTTATCTCCAGTTATTCTTTAAATGCAAACAGTGTTTCATGTTTGCCTTAATTCTGGTTTTCCGGTTGCAGGTGGATGGTCTCCTCTTCTACCATCGGCAGACCCACTACACCCCTGGCAGCACCCCTCTGGTCGGCTGGCTTCGCCCTTACATGGTCACTGACATCCTGGGTATAGAAGTTCCTGCAGGACCTCTCACCAAGAAGCCAGAATATGCCAGCCATCAGCTACAGCAGATCCTGGAACATAAGAAAACATCAAGTGAAGTCCGCCCGGTCAACAGAAGCGGAGGGTATGAGTTAGAGTACCTGTCCACTCCAAACCAGGGCAGTGAGGACACTCTGAACTCTTTGAAACAGACGCCAATACGAGAAGCATATATGGAGATCTGAGTGGGAGGCTTAACGAGATGCAAATTCTAAATGGTGGTGAAAGCCCATATATGGTTCTTTAGAATTTCTTCTGAATGGTTCTGCAGATCTGACCAATTGCAAAGCTTGAAAAGACTTTCCTCACACAGTATTTCACCACATGCATATTCCTAACATCATACGTCTGCAGCTGCAGTTAGAATAGAATGAGAAACGTGTTGGCATAAATGGCCAAAGTGCAGCACAGTGAAGGTTGTGATCTACCCTTTTTTTCACTTGAGCAGGGTCTTGCAAAAGAAGCATCTCATCATTACTGTTGTCAGTTTATGCAGGTTTATTGCAGAAATTTTTTGGAGCAGTTTGCTCATTAGCTGAGCAAACGCTACAGAGTCTGCAGAATGAACACTCAGCAATTTGGAAGGCGCGGTAATGCTGACTGGTCACATCCTGTTAGTTAGTGCTTATCAGCAACAGGGACATGGGTTTTTACGATGTAATGTTGAATTTGAAATTGCTTAGGAAATGTTTTAAACTGTGTGTATTCTAAATAAATGTTTTTTTATTGGCCTTTGCTTTGCTATTCACTTTGTTACCACAGACTGCTGGATTTTTGCAGTTTTGTTAAAAGACTAAATCAGTTTGATTTGAGACATTTTGTCAAAAAATATTTTGACAAATCAGTGCAAGTTAAACATGACATATTTCATTGTAATATAAGTCCTTCACTGAAAAGCTGGCAACATTGATAACCTTAAAAAATATACATACATGTTAATGTGGATACATAAAATGTGTTGTGTTTAAAAGCCCTAGGTAGACAGTTCAGACTTGATTGCTCTGTCAGTATAGGTGTTGAGTAGGTGATGTTTCAGTGTATGACTCGTAATAATGAGAGAGCACTCAATAGCAGCATTCATGAGCATCTCCTGTGAGCTGAGCCACATTTGGCTTACTGAGCCATTTGCATAACCGTGAAGAGGAGGGTGGAAACTGTCAACAGGAAAAGACGTGAAAGTGTCTGTTGGGGTTATGTTTCAGCAACCTGTGCCAGCACATCCTCTGAGCAGGCACGCCACAGACGATTGCCTGAGGTTACCACATCTAGGCTGTCTGATGTTGATAGTGTCTTTCTAAGAAAGAATACCTTTCACCCTTTGCTCCCATAGTATTTTTTTTAAGTACCTCGATTCTGTTTTCAATTATTCGTCTATAATTTCTCTATAAATTAAATTTAAGGTTGCTTAATTAGTAGTCATCCACAGTCATGATTCAGTGAGGGTGGGGCATGTATACTTTAGTAATGCCCTGACCTTTTCTCTGTTTCCACCAGCAAAAAAAAGACTTAGCCCATGAAATACTGCTACACTTCCTTGATGGGCAGATCATTTTTCATAGACTGTAACCATCTCCAAGTTGTGGTTTCTAAACACACAGCCGTTCTGCTGACTGTTACTATAGGTCTACATTAATGTTCATATTTTGGGTCAAATGTTTAAACAAAAATGTAAACTCTACTATTATCTAATCTTTTTTTTGGCTACTTCTTTTAGAGGTTGCCACAGCAGATCTCTCCCTATCTCCAGCCTCCTTTTCTGACATACTAACCCTTCGCATGTCCTCCTTTACTACCTACATGAATCGTCTCTGTGGTCAACTCTTCAACTCAGCTCGGCCTTCTGTTTTTTCTTTTTTTTTTTGTCAGTTTGTGTCCAAACCACACATCATAACAAGTTTCGTTACCCCTTTGTAAACCTTTCCTTTCACTGTATCCTCCTGTCAAAAATCACCCCTGACACTCGTCTACACCCACCACATCCTGCCTGCACTCTCTCCCTCATGTCTTCACTTCACCACTTCATCCTCTTTGTAGCTGCCCTCACGTTTTCATTCACTAATCCTCTGCACTTCATGATCTACTAACTGTCCTCCATCCGTCTTTCTCAGACTCCCATTTTCTACACTTATCGGTTCCTCAAAGTACTCCATCTTCCCAACACAGTAACTTCACTTGTTAGTGAATTTCAGTTTCTGTCCTTAAACTACTCTAGCCTTCTTGCACGTCCTTTTCAACTCGATCTCTCGGCCCGGCCTTTTGTGTCCAGCCTCACGTTCAGTGCTGTGAAAAATCTATTTGCCTCACTTACCGCTTTCTTTTTTCCCATATTTGTCACACTTACATGCTTCGGATCAAAGAACATCAAGGAAATGTTAATATTAGACAAAGATAACCTGGCAAGCCATCCAGGTCCTGAAGCAGCAAAGCAGACCCAAATCATCACACTACCACTTGACCCTTGGTTTGATGTTCTTTTTATCAAATGCTATTAATTATATGTCAATTGTAAACAGGACTCAAGCCTCCAAAAATGTCTTCGTTTTTGATTTTGGCCAAGTTTTTTCATTGGATGCCCTTCCTGATGCAACACTGAGACATGAAAAATGGTCCTGTGCCATATGTTTCTACCCAGAGTTCTTTGCGCCCCAGCTCTTACTTTTCAAGGTCCTGTGTTACTATAGATGTTCTAAAAGTTCTACCATCCTGTGTTACCCAGCCTGAAAAACAACCTGAAAAAGATGTCCTGCAGCTCTGTATTGGCATAGTGATGTGGGTTGACCCAAATAATAGGAGAGATGATGCATGAGCGTTAAACTGGAGGGGGACAGGATACTGGGGCATAAAACTTTGGTAACAAAAATAGACTTTGAAACAGGGCATGCTAATCCTTTTTTTTTTAAACAGCATGTTATAGTTTTGTTTTTTTGAATTATCTTATAAAAATGGCACTTTTATATCCACCCTTTGATGCCTCCATAGACCAGCATAACTGTCATGTATTTGTATCAACACTCACATTTTCTATACCTGGAAAAAGAACATAATTTTCTCCTTGTCTTGCTCTTACAGCAGTATCACTATTGTTCTCGCCACCTACGTGGAACATTGACAGGTGAAAACAACACGTTTCAACACTTCTCTGGGGTAGACTGATTCTGGGAAACGTAGATCACTAAGTGTACAATGCAGCTGAAAGAAGTTCAGCATACCACATTTACACACGATAAGTCCTGGAAAGCATGATGTGGTTTGTGACGATGAATCAGTTAATTTTTTTTTTTCTTTAATGAACCATAATTTGGAAAAACTGCAAAAAAGCAACGTTTCTGCAAGTGTTTGCAGAGTTAATCCCCCAGTTTTCTTGCATCTGCGGTTAAAGGTTTCTGCAAAAATCTAAAGAATACGCCTTGTGTAATCCAGAGCAAATTGACAAATGCAGTTCATCGAGTACAGTCAGATACTTCCTCTTTCACCTCTGTACTGAGAGACATGTTAAACAGAGCAAAGCGAGATGTGTGGTTACTGCAAGAATTCCGATATGACTCAGCAGTACTTTCCAGGAACCGAGCACCTGCCAATTCACAGATACACTTTTCATCGTGCTGTCAGTCCCCCCCCCCCCCCCCCCCCCCCCCCCCCCCCTCCACTCACACACACACTCACACACACACACAAATGCTCTGATCTTTACGAAAACCTTGTTACAAGACGTTTAAGGAGTGAAGCAGATTTGTGTTTCTTCTGTACATCTCTCTCTCTGTGCACGTCTGACAGTAATATCAGTGAGAGCAAACTTCATCTGTGTGCCACGTTAGTAAAAGAGTGTAAACTGCTCTTCAGGTCATTAAATCTCCTCAGTTAGCACGCATAGCACTAACATCATACAGCTTCATGCAGCACTGAGTTCACAGAGTTTGGCTAAGTGTGTTTGTGTGTTTGCGAAATCCATTTAGCACCCATTTTAGACTTGATGTATAAAGCCTGAAGTGTCATTAACCCGCATTATGTAAAACAACTTCCATCTTGTAGCGAACTGATTTTTTTTTTTTCAACAACTGTAGAGAACCTCATCTTCCTCTCTAGCTTTTATTGATTTGAGTTGATTTTTATCAACTATAGAAATCTTAATTTGTCACAGGTTTACTGCGTCCTTTTTTTTTTCTTCCTTTTAGTCAGATTGACACTATGAGGGGGAAGGGCTAAAGGTTTACCAATCACATTTTCCCAAAGGATGATGTCAGCTGGTTTCACAGGAAGTCTATTGTTGTCCACTCCCTTTTCCCTTTGGTTTTCAAGTCAGACTTTCTCACGCTTCAATATTTAAGGTTTGCTTATTGTGGGGGGGAATAATCGTGCATTTCAGTGTTCCTATATTTGATGGCCTACAGAAGCACGTTGACAAACACTGCCATCTTCCCTTCCTTCTCTATCTACCTATGTTGAGATAAGCCCGGCCTCTCACTTTGTTTTGCATCATTTTACCTTTGCGGTCTCGTTAAAACACCCAAAGGCGTGAAATGATTGCCTTCAATAGCTTTGTGGTATATGCAATCTCCTGGCTGCGCTCGAAATAACCTCCCTGCTGAACTATATGAGCAGCCCATAATATTCCAAGGGAGACCTGTATTGTGTCTGTGGCTCATGTTACAGTGACTTTATCGTGCTCTTGGGTATTTTCTAATTCTTATGATGTCATGCATTTCCTGTAAACTCTACTAGATTATAATGTAGCAAGGAGGAAGCAAGAGTTGAGAGTTTGACTAATTAAACTGCTATAAGTGCAACCAACTATTATGGATGGGCCAGCTCATATTATTATTTGTGTCTTCCCACTTTATGTAATGCATTAATAATGCGAACTGCTGGTTTGGGGAGTGCAGCTGTGATGTAGACTCATAGCTGATGAAAAATGTGCACAAAGCTGCACACTATGAATGCAGATTACAGTGGCTGAAAATTACAATAACATTATGCTTCAGATTGCATGTACCTTTAAGAAAGTTGCAATGCACAGCTTGACAACCTCAACAAACACCATGACATTGCTGTTAGTCCTACCTATGGCGCTTACTGGCTAATGGTGATTCTGGTGTTCATTGGATTAATTTTGTTTTTAACTGAGAAAAAGCTGTTTGAGGCCGCAGTGCCAGCTCAATGGCGGAAAGAATAAAAGGAATGTTAACCCTTCATTAATAGGATTTAAAGTTCTTGAATCAGGAATAAAGCTTGGAGTCCAACAAACAAATTAGCTGCAGCACTGTGCAAAAGTCTTGAGCCACCCCTTATTTCTTTATATTTTGCAAGAAAAATGGGGAATAGGTGGAGCAGTTTATTGAATTATGTGAGAACATCCATGGAATATGAGGAATTTATAAGGTATATAAAGTAAGTACAATTCTAACACGCTTGAGGGTCAATATTTGGTATGGCCACCTTTATCCTCAACACAGCTTAAACTCTCTGAGGCAGCTTTCTTGTCATTTCTTTAAGTATCTTCAGGAATAGTTCTCCAGGCTCCTTGACGGAAATTCAAAGCTCTTCTTTGGATATTGGCTGTCTGTTGTTCTGTTTTCTGTTAAGATGATCACACACTGCTTCAATAATGTTGTGGTCGAGGCTCTGGGGAGGCCAATCCATGACTGATGGCATTCCATTCTTTTGTGCATTTGTTTTTTAATATCCAGATATGTTTTTACAGTGTGTTTGGGATCGTTTTCATGTTGAAAAATGA